TATATATATATATAAAGTCGTCATTTATTTTCCTTGTAAAGAAACAGTTTCTGTACTTTTTCTGGGAGATATTTGGAAACTAGTTCAACATCAGCCTTCAACTCTCCATGGTCAAAATCCAGACTCTGTTAGGGAGACTGTCCTCTTGAAGATATAATTCAACTTGGGATTTCTCATTTTGGTGTCTCAAACCATTGCCTTTTTTCCTAAAATTAAAAAAACAGCAATATATTGTTTTCTCAAAGACTTTAGATTGACGAAAACCGGTTTACTTTAGATATAATGTTATGTAAGATGGAATAAGAAAATACCTACCACCAAAGACAAATCCCGTGACGACTGATAATATGCGGCGACTGCACAGCAATAAGTAGCTGATACGTACAATAGGCCAGGGAGTTGGATTTTTATATCATGTGCATGATCTGATAAACTGATGTTGTCAAGTTGTTTTGTTCTGTACACTACTGCAACGGACAACTTAGAATGGTTTTTAAAAAACCACAATCCTTTTGACAGAATCTGAGAGTCTCTAAATGGACAAGTGGTCATAAATGTTTGGATTGCAGGGTTCGAAACTGTACCAAGAGACAGTCAAGTAATAATACTGATTTCTTTGCATACTACGATAAAAGAGGACAGCGACTGTTGCTGAATCAGCGTAACATTATCAATAATCTGTCAATCGAGGTCAGGTTTTTTTGTTAAGACATACCCGAGTCAAAGAGGTGAAAAAATAGACCTGTTCACATGTACAAGATGAAATGCGTGTTTATCTAATATGTTATATACCCCCCCCCCCTCAACTTTCCCCTCAACAATCACCACGATCAGGGCATTTGGAAGGCGTGCTGCTTCGATCCTGCGCCCACGTCAACGACCACCGGATGAACAATTGGAAAATTAAAGGGTGCCTAACAAATGAAAACTCGTGGATTTGGAAGAATAAACAAAAACGCCTCTTTGCTCCTATAATAATATAGTGCGGTTTGTGTGTGTGTGTGTGTGTGTGTGTGTGTGTGTGTGTGTGTGTGTGTGTGT